TCCCAGGTACTCTGGAGGCTGAGGCAGGAGAATCGCTTGAATCCGGGAGGCAGAGACTGCAGTGAGCTGAGTTCACTCCAACCTGGGCGACAGAGCAAGACTCCATCTCAAAAATTAATTAATAATTAATTAATTAACATGTAAAAGTCAACAGCAAGGGGCTGAGGACCTCCACTGGTGACGTTCATGGCAGCAGGGAAGCCAGGTACCTGCACGTGAGGAAATGGAACCAGCACCAAAAGGTGCCAGGCTGAGGAGAGGACCGCCCAGGCCGAGCTGGCATGAGGTCCAGGGAGGGCCACCTCTGAAACGGGTGACATGAGCAACACGGCGCTTTGCACTCAGGCTGTCTACATGGGGCTTTCTGTCACTTACACCCAAAGAGCCTTGAGTCGTACATCAGGGCACAGCAGCCCCTCCTCATGCCTGACTTAGGGTCCTGGGTCCCCACAGGAGTGACCATGGCAGGGCCACCTGAGGGCTGCCTATTAGAGTCTCTGCAGCCAGATGGCTACGTCCCAGGGCTGGGCACCTCTGGCTTTCCCAGAACCTTCATGTCTCAGCTAGGAGCCCTAAGTCTGTGTCCCACAGAGCCCCAGCAATAGTGCCCAATTTGCCCGTCTTCATGGTCCACAGACGATGCTACCTGAGTCTCCAGCCAGGGGCTAGAAACACGCTGATGGGCCCAGCCTGGGTTTAAACCTGCAGGGTCACTGAATCCTGGGCTTACAGGGACAAAGGTGGCTTTTCTAAAGGAAATCGCGGGATAAGGGATATGGATAGCAGGCGAGGCTGCATCCAGGGGCTCAGAAGATGTGATGCAGCGTGTGTGTGCACATGGCAAACATAAATACGGCATATGTTATTTTGGGTCTTTTCTGCTTTCTGCCTTTCTTGTTTCTCATAAATTGTTTTATTTGCTCAACAATATGTCTGAGGCTGGGCGCGGTGGTGCATGTCTGCAGTCCCAGCACTTTGGGAGACAGACGTGGGCAGATCACCTGAGGTCAGGCATGGCATTCGAGACCAGCCTGGCCAACGTGGTGAAACCCCGTCTCTACTAAAAATACAAAAGTTAGCTGGGCATGGTGGTGGGCACCTGTAATCCCAGCTACTCGGGAGGCTGAGGCAGGAGAATCACTTGAATTCGGGAGGCGGAGTCTGCAGTGAGCCAAGATTGCACCACTGTACTCCAGCCTGAGTGACAGAGCAAAATTCGGTCTCAAAACCCAACAATACGTGTGAGTGGCCCTCCTGAGACTTGAATCACACCCCTGGCTTCAAGGCAGAGTTCTGTCCCGGTACATGTCCCGGTGTGGTCAGCCCAGGGCAGCCACCAGCTGATGCTGCAACTTGGTGGGTCTTGGAAAGCTGCCTGATTCCTCACGGGCAGTGGCCCCACTGTGGGGCCGTGGCCCCATAGACAGGTGCAGGTAGGACTCCAGCCACCACCCACACCCTTGCCCACAGCCAGCAGGACACATGCCCCTGAGTCAGCCAGTCCGGCATGGATGGGCACGTGGATGGGCACGTGGATGGGCACGTGGGCAGGTTCTGAACTCTTTACTATTACAAATCACGCTGCAACACCACGACAGGAGTGTTGCTCTAGGGGAAGACCCCAAGGACGCCGGCCACAGAACACGGGCAGAGCCCGGGGACACTGGCCACGAAACACGGGCAGACCCCGGGGATGCCGGCCACAGAACACGGGCAGACCCGGGGGGGCGCCGGCCACGGAACATGTGCAGACCCTGAGAACACGTGCAGACCCCGAGAACATGGGAAGACCCCAAGGACGCTGGCCACGGAACACGGGCAGACCCCAGGGACACTGGCCACGGAACACGTGCAGACCCTGAGAACACGTGCAGACCCCGAGAACATGGGAAGACCCCCGAGGACGCCAGCCACGGAACACGGGCAGACCCAGGGGATGCCGGCCACGGAACACGGGCAGACCCCAGGGACGCTGGCCACGGAACATGGGCAGACCCCGAGGACGCCAGCCACGGAACACGGGCAGATCCCGGAGATGCCAGCTGCAGAACACGGGCAGACCCCGAGAACACGTGCAGACTCCGAGGACGCCAGCCATGGAACACTGGCAGACCCTGAGAACACGGGCAGACCCCGAGCACGCCAGCCACGGAACACAGGCAGACCCCGAGAACACCGGCCGCGGAGCATGCACTGCTAGAATCTCATAGCTGCTGCCTGGCGGCCCTCCAGTGGGGCTGCACCAGTAGCCCCAGCAGCCCGAGTGCCCACTCCCCACACCCTCCTCCGCACATGGTCATAGGTGATTTTTCTTTTTCTTTTTTTTTTTGAGGCAGGGTCTCACTCCGTCTGCTGGAACTCCTGTCCTCAAGTGATCCTCTCACCTCAGCCTCGGGAGTAGCTGGGACCACAGGCTCACACCACCATGCACGGCTGTTTTTGTATTTTTAGTAGAAGCATGGGTTTCACCATGTTGCCCAGGCTGGTCTCAAAGTCCTGAGCTCAAGCAATCCCCACGTGCTGGGATTATAGGTGTGAGCCACCGTGTGCCCAGCCATGATTATCCAACGTGGCAAAGCTGATGGGGGAAGAGCAGCTTCTCACGGGGCTCGGATCCCAGCCAGTTTCAGATGCCCGAATCGGGGGGAGGGGCAGCAGGTTTGAAGGGAACACGGCAGCCATGGTGCCACCCCGCTGCTTTGAGGAAGGCCAGGTTCCCGACGTCGAAGCATCTTCAGTTCACCAGCTGCCACCGGACCTTTCCGGGGAGAACCAGGGCCTGCCTGTAAGGCCCCTTCTCACGTCTGCACCCCCCAAGCCACTGGGGCCCAAGCTCCCTAAACAAATCGTCTCCCTTCACTGCCCACAGGCCCCGCAGTGAAGCCTCCCACCAGCACTGAGCCACAGCCCGTCACCAGCGGCCTGCTGCAAGTCTCAGGCGCAGTACGAGCCCTGTGGTGCAGTGGGCACGTGGCTGCATCGCCTCTTCTGAGCCCTTGACCCAGCTTTGCCTGCCATCCACCCTCCCCTCTGACGTCAGCACCTCCAGTTTTCTGGACAGGATCTCTTCCAGCCCAGGCCTGCAGCTCACGTCCCTGCCCCTGGCCCCATGATCAGCTTTGGGACCGTGGCTTGAGAGTCTGTCTCTGGCTGGGCCTGCTGAGGGGGAAGGATTCCCAGGAGCTGCCCTGGGCCGTCTCTGCCCCACACAGATGGAGTGAGAGAAACGTGCTCTGTGGCTGTTGCTGTGTGACGTAGTCCAGCCCTGCCTGACGTCAGCACACGCTAGGACGCCCTGGTCCTGAGCCCAGACACTTCCTGTCCTGGACAAGAGCTGCTTTGGCTGGGTGTCTGCTCTGGCAACCAGGCTATCCTGATGCACTTGGTGAAAACCCAGGATGAGGCTGGGCACGGTGGCTCACACCTGCAATCCCAGCACTTTGGGAGGCCGAGGCAGGTGGATCACTTGAGATCAGGAGTTCAAGACCAGCCTGGCCAAGATGGTGAAACCGCATCTCTACCAAAAGGTACAATAATTAGCCAGGCATGGTTGTGCACGCTTGGAATCCCAGCTACTCAGGAGGCTGAGGCAGAGAATCATTTGAACTTAGGAGGCAGAGGTTGCAGTGAGCCAAGATTGTACCACTGCACTCCAGCCTGAGCGACAGAGCAAAAAAAAAAAGAAAAAAGAAACAATCTGGGCTGTGTGCTGTGAGCGTCCTGCATGCCAGAGCTCCTCCTACAGGTGATCTCCATCAGTGGGAACCAAGGTGGGCTGAAGCAGGTGTGGACTCTCCCTGCTCAGGCAGGGCGGGGGAGGCTGTGAGGGCAATAGCAGCAGGATGGGCCAGAGCACCTGGGGAAGACTGGTTCCAGTAAAAAGGGTTGAGCCTCAGTTTCCCTGTCCGTAGAATGAGACTTCAGTCTCCACAGTACCAGCTGTGATTTGGGGTGGTGGAGCAGGAGGGCCTGGGAAGGAGGGAAGCCGTGCAGTCCAGCACGAGGAGAAGCTGAATACAGGCTGGGGTTACCCTTGAACCTCATGCCCTGCCCTCTCCGGAGATCTCCCACTCAGGGCGCTTACACGAGTCCAGTCCACACCATCACCTGCTCCGGCTCTGACCCTGCTCTGCCACTTGCCCGCACCAAGACCTGCCATAAGTGACTTCATTTCTCTAGGCCTCAGTTTCTTTGTCTGCGAAATGGAAATGGCTTTCATCTCATAACTTTTGTGAGTAAATGAAATTATTCATGTAACCCCTGGGCATGTGCCAGGCACAGGCTGCGCTCCAAAAAACGTTACAAGTTATCACTCTCCCAGGCCTGCAGGGACTGCAGAGACTCCGCCTCGGACGCCAGCTCCCTACACCCGCCCTCCCCTCCAGCCCCCTCCCCTCCACACCCTCTCACCGCCCTCCCCTTCCAGTCCCCTCCCCTCCACACCCTCTCACCGCCCTCCCCTTCCAGCCCCCTCCCCTCCACACCCTCTCACCGCCCTCCCCCTCCAGCCCCCCGCGATCCCCCACACACGCCCTCCCCCTCCAGCAGCCCCCTCCAGCAGCCCGAGTCCCCCAACACCCCGAACCCCCTCCCTCCCTCTCCCACGGTCCGCGGGCTCCACCAAGCGCCCACCCGCTGCGCTGCGACGGCGGCTCCGGCTCCGGAGTCCGAACCCGGGTCCGTAACCGGCCCGTGGGCGCTGTGGGGGGTGGGCCTGGAAGTGCGTCTGGAGAGGGGAATCAGGGTCGACTTCCCCCGGGCGGCCGGGACCCCCACCCCTGCGCCAATCCCGCGCGTCCCCCGCCGCCCCAGGTGGTCCCAAAACACTCCGGGAAACGCCTTCCCGTGACGCCGCGGACCCAGTCCCCTCGCAGACACGGCGGGGCAGACCGGGGGTCCCAGCGTCCGAGCGACGCGGGGCCGGGCGGGCGCGGGCCCTTTAAGGCGGAGGGTCTCGTTAGCATATATTTGCATGGCCCCGCCCAGCCGCTGGAGGCTGCCGCGCGGGGCTCAGTCCGGCGGGGGCGCCGCGGAGAGCGGAGGGCGCGGGACCCTGCACGCCGCCCGCGGGCCCATGTGAGCGCCATGCGGCGCCGCGCTGCCTGGGGACCCGGCCCGCCGCCCCCCGGGCCTGGGCTTCGGCCGCTGCCGCCGCCGCCGCTGCTGCTGCTGCTGCTGGCGCTGGGGACCCGAGGGGGCTCCGCCGCGCCCGCGCCGCGCGCCGAGGACCTCAGCCTGGGAGTGGTGAGCGCGCGGCCGAGGGCGCGGGGCCGGGACGGGCGCGGAGCTCCAGGGCCGGAGCCAGGGGTCCCAGCGCACCGGGCGGCGGGGGCCTGGGAGACCCCCGCAGTGCGCGGGATCCCGGGAGCCCTGGACCCATTTCCTGGATGGGGAGACTGAGGTAGGGGCGCGGGCTGAGCGGCCGGGCGAGCGCACGCGGATCTGGCAGGCGCCGGCTCCCGTCCCGACTCCGTGCGTCCGGAGCGCGCCGCCGCCGCAGGAGCCGGTGGAGTTGTGAGAGGTCGCCCGCCCGGAGCCCGGGTCCCCGGCTTGCAGCGGCCCCAGAGCAGCCGGAGTGGGCGAGAGCAGGCTTCGTGGCCGCCCGAGCCCTGCGCGCTGCGTGCGTTCCGGGTGAGAGTGGCGGAGCAGGGGCTGCGGAGTGGGGGCACCCCGAAAGCAAACTTGGGGCCCTGAGTTTGCTGGGTTAAGCGTGCTGGGGGCACAGGGAAGCCGGCCCCAGCTCCCCACTGAGCACGGACCTGGCCCCAGCCTCCCTTCCCTCCACCGCAAGTCGGCCAGGCTGGCCCTCTAGCCCTGGTCCGTGCTGAGCCGGGGACTGGGGAGAGCCTTCCTCACCCCACACACAGCCTCGGTCCCCAGCTCAGCTTGGGAGCCCTGCCAGGGGGCAGCGCTGCGGTCTCTTCCCACAGCCCCCTCCCCTGTTCCGCAGCCGGGACCGGCGTCTCCTGTGAACCTGGAAGATTTAGAGTGGACGTCGGGGGGGTCAACGCCCCCCGGCTGGGGCAGTCGAGTGAACTCTGGCTGGGTTCGGTGATTCCTTCTGAGGCTCCTGCCCCACCACTGCCCTCACTGTACTCTGGGCCGAGGCCTCCCCGCCCGCGCAAGTGCTGGGCCCTCGTCTCCCAGTGGGGTCCTGGCAGGGCCTCTCACCCAGCGCCTTAGACCTTGGGGTGCTCCAAAACCTTTGGGTCTGAGTAAGTCAGCGCAGGTGGTTTTCAGGCAGTCGAGGCATTTGAAAGAGGCACTTGGGTGGCACCTGCAGCCCCTGTGGTTGGCAGGGCTTGGCCAGGGGGTCTGGATGGAAAGCCGACGTGGCCCCAGGCTGCCCCAGGCCCCAAAGCCATCTGGGACGGTGCTGGCCACTCTTCCTGCTACCCGGGGGCCAGATGCCTGCAAGCCCCCCAGTGGCTTCATTCCAGCCAGGCAGCCTGTGAAATTGGGGTGTCCTCCACCTCCTTTGTAGCTGGAGTTTCCGGGATCCCACACTGAGGAGCACGCCCTGGGGACCTGGTGTCTCCAGCTCTGGAGGGAAGGGAACCCAGGCTCCAGGGTGCTACAGAAGGGGCCAGGGCAATGGCAGGGGAGGATTCCAGGTGGGGCCCACACGCTGAGGAGGGACCCCCTGCCAAGCCATGTCGGCTGGTCAGGCCCAGTGTGGCCCACCTGCCCGCCTGCCCAGAGAGTGGGTCGGGCACCCTCCTCCCGGCTGGTACCTGCGCCTTGGTCTCTCCTGGCACCCAGGGATCACCCGCCTTGTGCCCTGTGGCAGCACCGAGTGGAGGACGTGGCTCCTCGGCCTGGCTGGGGGCAGTGAGTGGGGCCCAGGTGTCCAGCCGGAGAGGGAGGACGCTGCGGGCAGCCCCCTGCGTGGAGCCCCCACGGGGTCCAGCCGGCCTGTGTGGCGCCTCCGTCCTGCCCGAGCCTCCTGCTCACACTGGCGGTGCGGGGCGGCCTCTGCTGGCCCTCGGGGGAAGCGCGGGCGAGCTCAGGCCCAAGGCGGGCGGCTTCCCGGCGGGGAGGGACAGGGAGGCCGGGATCTGGGGGGGAGGGGGGACTCCTTCACAGCCCTCGCCGCCCCCTCTCCGGAGGCGCTCCCGGCAGGCCTGGGCTCCAGGAAGGAGAAGGGCGCCTTTGTCCGAGGGACCTGCAGACCGAGCTGCACGCAGCGGGGCTCGAGCCCGGGCAGGAGGGGAGGGCCCGCCCCGGAGCGTCCCCCCCCCCCCCCGTTAGCACGTGAACAAGGCCGGGATTCAGGCTGCTGGGACGCGCGGAGAGGACAAAAGAGCGCCCTGTGCCCCCGTCCTCGGCGGGGCTGCGAGTCCTTGCGGGCCTGAGATTTTTGTCCTGTGTTGTGAGTAGGACACACAGCGCGCAGCCCGGGGTCTCCGCCCGCGTCCGCACCCCTCCCGCCCCTGGCTCCTTCCCGAGCGGGACGCGACTCTCGGTGCCTTATTTCTGCACGGTGGCGCCGGGCTGCCCGTGGGCCTCGCCATCTCCGCTCCGCCCGCTCAGGAGCCGCCGTCTGTTCCAGGCCTGCAGCCTGGGTCTGGCTGGGACTCCCCACACTTGCCCAGAGCATCTCGGGATCGGTCCCGGGTGGCAGCTGTGTGGTAGCAGGTTTGACAAACTGTTCTAAAGTCTCCTCTCGGCAGCACCGCCTGCGGCCGTCACCACTGCGCCCCCGGCCGAGTGGCAGCTCCCTTGATCTTCTGCGTGAGGTGGGGCGGGGAGTGGGGGGTGGTATTGCTGAGGTTGTGGGAGGCTGGGCCAGATGGTGCCTGGTGGCAGCCGCCCTCCACGTCCTGGTCTCTGCCGGTTGGCCTCTGGGTCCCTGGCCCTCAGGACCTCATCACCCTGGCTGGGGTCAGGGTGTCCCCTCTCACCCTGCAGATGCTCCCAGAGCTTCAGCCGAGCACCCCCAGCCAAAACCAAGACAGGCAGGAGTGTGAGACCACGGCCTGATTTTGCCGTGATAGGCGTCTGCGTGTCCTTGCTGCTCGGTCCCCTTCTGACACCCATCTTCATGGCGCAGGAGATGTTGCTTCCTTCGGACGTGGGCTCTGCGACCCACGTACCGGGCCTCAGTCTCCCTGTCTGTACAGTGGGGCCAGGGAGGACAGGCTGCCGCACAGTCGGCGGGGGTGCTTCCGATGGTTCAGGGGCAGGAAGGGGGAAGGCTGGAGAGGACCAGGGTGGTTCTCCGATGTGTCCTGGGGTTTTGGGGCACTTTGCGCATGCGTGCATTTGCCTTCTGTTGGCAGCAGCTCCGGTGAGACACTTGCCCTGGCTCTGGACTCGGGGAACCTGTCAGGCGCATGCAGGGCGGCACCTGTGTCATGTAGGAACTGGGGGCCTCCTGGGCACCTGCCTCTGGGGTTCAGGGCCCTGCTGGCCACCGTCTGGCTCACAGCAGGGACAGGACGGGGTGGTCTGGGAAGGATGTGGAGCCTGGCTTCCCCTGTGGTGCAGTACTAGGCAAGTCCCCTCCTCATGCTGGCCCAGGGGCCCCGGGCACCCTGGCCCACCTCTTTCTCCTCCCCCTGACCCCAGAACCGCCTCGCATATCACCTGGACAGCTCCTTCTCGCCTTGCTGGTCACAGCCCATGTCCCCCAGGATGTTCCCTGAGCACCCATTTCATCAGCCCTCCAGCCCGTCCCTCACCCCTGCATAATACAGTGGTCAATGGCTCGGTAGCCGAGGATAACTCCCTGTGCCTCAGTGTTCTCATCTGTAAACTGGGAGTAATAAGAGCACCCACTTCACAAGGTTAACCCACGGTTGTCTGTGAGCACCGGCTTCGTGCCAGGTACCCTCCAGCAGGGACCACCCGGCTTCACCGTGCCTCAGGGACATGGCAGGAATGGCAGGGGTGTGGATGAGATTGGCATGGGGGCGTGGATGGCGTGGGCGTGGACAGGGGCATGGATGGTGGGGGCGCGGGCGTGGACGGTGCGGGCGTGGATGGCGCGGGCGTGGACGGTGCGGGCGTGGATGGCGCGGGCGTGGACGGCATGGGCGTGGATGGGTAGTGCTGGATAATTGTTGGCTGTTGGGATGGAGAACACTTATCAAGTAGTCCTGTTCAGGACGTAACGGCCACCTGAGACTCATGTCACAAACATGTGTTCACATATTTGCTATTTATCCTCCCCACAATCCCGTCCTCCCCCGTGGGCAGTGGGATGGGGTCCTGTGGTCTTAGCCTCTCCCCAGTTGCTCAGACAGATGGACAGACTTAGAGGGAATCTGGCAGTGTCCCTGGCTGGGGCCAGGGGATCACTCCAGCCAAGGGTCAGCAGCCAGAGGCGGCCAATGCAGGGGGACCCCCGTGCATGGCTGGTGGGCCAGACACAGTTAGACCATGGGTCCGTGACTGACCGTGTGCTGTGTGCCCACGGGCAGGTTATCCACATGCTCTCAGCCTGTTTTCTCATCTGTAAGATGTGGCTGATGACATCTACTCTCCCCTGCCCCCCTCCCACCCCGTGCAGGTCGGGTCACAGATGAGTGTGGGGGCCAGGCCCAGGTGCCACCCCGCAGATGCCCCCGCCAGCCAGGGTGCCCTGGGCGGGAGAGGCCGACACAACCAGTGCAACCCAGAGCCAGGGGCGGGTCTGCATGCCGTAAACTCCCTAAAAACCGTCCGAGGGAATTCTGTGCTGTGTGCATTGCACCCCTCAAGGCTGGAAACAGGCACACATTGTGCCAGGCAGGCAGGACTGTGAACGGTGAATCCAGAGTGAGCCGGGCGGCTGCCCGCATCTGCAGCAGAGCCAGGGGCTACAGGTGCCTGCTTCCTGCCTGTGCCCCCCCATGGGGCAGGGCTCCGCCTCTGGCCTCTGTGTCCCCATCTTTGGTAATAATGGCCCAGCCCATGGGAGGAGCAGGAGAGCGGCCGCCTCTCCTAGGCGGCTCCAGAAACTATCATCAGCCAGGGGGTGGCTACCTTGGGTTGGGGCTCCCTGGAGCTCCCAGCAGCCCCTCTCCCGCCTCCTCCCGGCAATCCCTCCCCCTCCCCAGTGGCCTTCTGGAAGGTTCACCCTGCCGCTGCTGCAGCATCCGCCCGATGCAGCCTCTGTTGCCCTGGAGACAGCAGTCTCCGTGGTGACAGCAGAGTGAGAATCAGGCAGCGGGTGGGTGTAGGTACTCTGGAGGCAGGGATGGGAAGGGGGAGAGGGTCTGGGCCACCACCTCAGGGGCCATCCTATGGCAGACATCCCCCCACCTGCTGTGGGCAGGAGTAGGTCAGGATAGAGGCCCGGGGAGGGGAGGCAGGGCGGGAAGAGGACACCGAATTTGCCCCAAGGTGCTGGCTGTGGGGGCTTTTTTGCCCCAGGACCATGCGCCCACCTTGCTGCCACCACCCTTATTTAGCCTGAGTTGACATTGCCAAGCCCTGGCCAAGAATTGGCCGCCCCTCCCAGATGGACCTGAGCTGCCTGGTGAGCGGCTTGCTGCCCTCTTTCCCGAAGGCTCGGCTTCCCGGAAGCTGGGAGCACAGGACGGTGTGGCGCTGGGCAAGGGCACCCTGTAGGCTCGGGAGACCCCCTGGAGCAGGTGGCTGCTTCTACCTGTGTCCACCCGAAGGCTAGTAGCCCTCAAACCCGCAAGGCTGGTCAGTCAGGTACCCCTGTCAACTAGGAAGTGGCTCCCACTCTACCCCCCGAGACAGCCCCTGCCAGAATGCTGAGCCTGAGATGGGGCTCACGTGGGGTGAAAGCCCCCGACAGCCCTGCCCCACAGACCTGCCCCAAGATGTGACGCCATTCTACGCTCAAAATCCAGTGCCCCTTAGGCCACAGGTGACTGCATGTTCACCATGGGCGGGGCTGCCTGCCCCAGGCCGGTGTTGGAACCCTGGTTCTTCGAGTTGAAGCAGGCTGGCCGCTCACACCTGCCACTAAACCACTGCTTCCAAACGTCGGGAGCATTCCACAGCCACTGGGAGAGCTGCATGCCAGGCCTGGCACCACTTTCCCAAAATCCATGTGGCCCCGTGGCCAGGCTGCCTAGCTCCCCAGGGACCAGAGGGAGGGGTGCCCCAGCCTGCCACCAGCCATGACCCCAGCTTACAGATAGGAAGGCTGGGGGTGCGGGGTCCTCCCAAGGGGTCTCAGTGCCTGCTGGCCCAACCCAGGCAGCAGCTGGCCTGGGTAGGAAAGGCACCTGCCTGTATGGGCCCTTCCCTGGTAAGGGGTAGGGGGTCATCATCCAGTATCATAAATGGTGTGAGGAAATTCCAGAGGGCTTCCTGGAGGAGGTGACAGGCTTGTAACCATGAGGCACAGTGGCCCTGTTGAGCTGGGATCTTAACAAAGAACTAAAAAGTGCACGTATTTAATGCGGAATGTGCCGATGGGCGTTGCTCCAGCACCTAGAGCAGTGACTGGCCTGGGGACACCCTCAGTAAGCCCTTCGGGTACGTGGCAGTGTGGGGCTGGACACCTGGGGCCAAAGATCCCCACGGCCTGGAGATCAGGACAAAAGTGGGAGGCCAGCACCCAGGTGCACAGCAGTTACCCCACCGCATGTGAGCGGAGGCTACCTCCCCAGAGCCGTGCCCGAGGAGCTGCCCACCCCAGTCATGAACGTCCACTTTGACGTCTGTCCTGCCTCTAGTCTTGGAGGGGCCCCCAGACCCTAGGGGTCTCCAGGCTCCCCTGGTTCCACACACACACTCTTGGCTTCCCCTCAGGGCTGAGGGGGCTGGGGCTGGGTCAGCAGGGTTTGGGGAGGGGATAAAGGCACAGAGGGAGGGCCCCGGGAAGGACTCTGGCTCCTGGACGGGGAATCTCGGGGTGTGCAGATCCCATGAGGTGTCTTGTGCGGCCCCTCCTGGCCAACATGGCCTGTGGCCGATGTCCCCGGAACCTCCAGGACAATGGCACCTCATTCCTCTGAACACTGCCCTCCGGTGGGCAGGAGGGTTGGCCAGGACCGCGCCATCACCAGCTCACGGAGAAGCTCGGGCAGGAGCTGCAGACCAGACCCCGGGGGCCCAGCAGGCGGCATAAATGAATCGCAGGCATTTTTTAAATGCCCACTAGAGAAAAAAAAAGACAGGTCTGCAGGCTGGGCAGGGACCCCAGCATGTCTCCCCTGGCTGGTACCTTTCCCGGGCGCACCTCACCCCTGCTGTGGTTCCCGGGCTGGCAGGTGTCCACAAGGCAGAGTGGGAGCCTCACTGCAGTTGAAGAAACTGAAGCTGAGGGTGGAGGCAGCCCCTACAGGTGGCACCCAGGCCCCCCGACCCGAGGTCCCCACAGATGTCATCCAGGGCCTCCTGTCCCTGGGGCCCCTCCAGGGTAGCAGAGATGACTGGGGCTCGGGGCCAGGGCTTGGTCTGTGCCCAGGTTAAAGGGCTGCCCCCATTCCTGCTCCCACTCGGCTCAGATGTGGGTAGCCTCCCCCCACCCCAGTGCGCCCTTCAGAGCAGAGCTGGTGCTGGTGTGAGGCACGCACCCTCATCACCAGCCTGCCAAGGACTCAGGAAGCGGCCCAAGGGGTGGACTGCCTTGCCTTGGGCACACGGCAGGGAGGTGGCTGAGTGGGGCTCACCTGCTTTTGCAGCCTGGCTAGAACCTGGCTTTTGTTTGCCAGGTGGTCTCACTGTTGCAGTCACAGCCTCCAGCTCCTGGGCTCAAGCGATCCTCCCATCTTGGCTTCCAAAAGTGCTGGGATCTCAGGCCTGAGCCACGGCGCCCGGCAAGCCTGGGCTCTTATCTCCCCGTGAAAGAGCAGCCACAGCCCAATTCCTCAAACTGGTGTCTGCGCCACTGCCTTTCTTGGCTGGGGTTTCAGACCTTGCAGCCCAGACTGCCCTGTCACACGTCAGCTGAGAGCCTGCATTTGACACTGGCCACGTTTAAGAGCCTTTTTAATGCTCCCTGGTATTTTGCAGCCTCAGAGGCATGGGGTGGCGCAGGGTTGCCGTGAGTGGTTGTACAGGTCGTGCACTGCACAAGCTCACATCATGTAAGGCACAAGTTTTAAGACACTTTTCCTGCAGCTGCCTGGGGAAGAGGCAAGAGGTGCCTTGTGGGCAGATCGGGGGCTGGGTGGTAATCAGGCTGGGAAGGGCCTGTCCCGAGTAGTGGTGGCCCATGGCAGGCTTCTTGTTGGGTAGAACCAGGCCCTCGCTGCACCCCTCACCCTGCTGTCTGCCCTCAGGAGTGGTTAAGCAGGTTCGGTTACCTGCCCCCAGCCGACCCCACGACAGGACAGCTGCAGACGCAAGAGGAGCTGTCCAGGGCCATCGCAGCCATGCAGCAGTTTGGCGGCCTGCAGGCCACCGGCGTCCTGGGTCAGTTCTCCAGGGTGGCAGCAGGGGGCCCCCGTCAGGCCTGTGCCAGTCAGCCATGCCCCTTCTGAGCCGTCACAGCCCTACCCCATGCTTGAATGGAACTGGGTCCCGGCCTGGTGTAGCTCGGGGCCTGGGGCCGGTCCCCCGAAGTGGGTGGGAGGAGGGGGTGGCTGGGGAGTTGGTGCCAAGGTCAGGGGTCTCTGCCTTGGGGGTGCTCGGGATCCTAGGCTGGGGGTTAGGTGGGGCTGGGCCCTGAGCTCCACACACCCCTGCAGACGAGGCCACCCTGGCCCTGATGAGAACCCCACGCTGCTCCCTTCCGGACCTCCCCGTCCTGACCCAGACTCGCAGGAGACGCCACACTGCAGCCCCACCCAAGTGGAACAAGAGGAACCTGTCATGGAGGTGGGTGTGGCCCGGGGCGAGGGGTGGGGTCTCCATGGAGGTGGGTGCATGGCCGGGGTGAGGAGTGGGGTCCCCGTGGAGGTGGGTGCGTGGCTGGGGTGAGGAACGGGGCCCCCATGAAGGTGGGTGCGTGGCTGGGGTGAGGAGCGGGGCCCCCGTGGAGGTGGGTGCATGTCCGGGGTGAGGAGTGGGGCCCCCGTGGAGGTGGGTGCGTGGCTGGGTTGAGGAACAGGGCCCCCATGAAGATGGGTGCGTGGCTGGGGTGAGGAGTGGGGCCCCCGTGGAGGTGGGTGCGTGGCTGGGTTGAGGAACAGGGCCCCCATGAAGGTGGGTGCGTGGCTGGGGTGAGGAGCGGGGCCCCCGTGGAGGTGGGTGCGTGGCTGGGTTGAGGAACAGGGCCCCCATGAAGATGGGTGCGTGGCTGGGGTGAGGAGCGGGGCCCCCGTGGAGGTGGGTGCGTGGCTGGGTTGAGGAACAGGGCCCCCATGAAGATGGGTGCGTGGCTGGGGTGAGGAGTGGGGCCCCCGTGGAGGTGGGTGCGTGGCTGGGTTGAGGAACAGGGCCCCCATGAAGGTGGGTGCGTGGCTGGGGTGAGGAGCGGGGCCCCCGTGGAGGTGGGTGCGTGGCCGGGGTGAGGAGTGGGGTCCCCGTGGAGGTGGGTGCGTGGCCGGGTGAGTAGCAGGGTCTCCGTGTCCCTGAGTCTGTGCCTCTGTAGATGCCCACAAGCCAGGGTATTTGAGACACAGCAGGAGCTCTCCCCTCTCTCTGGAGGCCAGGAGTCCATGTGAAAAAGTGGGCGGGGTGGTGCCCTCGGGAGGCAGACGGCACATCTGTCCCAGGCTCTGTCCAGCTGTGCAGTTGCTGGCAGCCATTGGCGGAATCACCAGCCTCTGCCTCCGCCCTGGCCCGTCTGTGTGCCAGCGCCTCTCCCATGTCTCATCAGGACACTCCTTGGATTTAGGGCCCCCCAATCCAGTATGACACCCACAAAGACCCTGTTTTCTTTTTGTTTTTGAGGCAGGGTCTGTCACCCTGGCTGGAGTGCAGTGGCACGATCACAGCTCACTGCAGCGCTGACCTCCGGGGCTCAAGCAGTCCTCCTGCCTCAGCCTCCCGTGCAGCTGGGACTAGAGATGCACATCACCACACATCGCGAATTGTTTTGTTTTTTTGACATGGAGTCTCTGTCACCCAGGCTGGAGGGCAGTCTTGGCTCACTGCAACCTCAGCCTCCCAAGTAGCTGGGATTACAGGCATGAGCCACCGTGCCCAACTAATTTTTTATATTTTTAGTAGAGACGGGGCTGGGCCTGGTGGCTCATGCCTGTAATCCCGGCACTTTGGGAGGCCAAGGTGGGTGGATCATTTGCGGTCAGGGATTTGAGACCAGCCTGGCCAACATGGCAAGACCCCGTCTCTACTAAAAATACAAAAATTAGCTGGGTGTGGTGGTGTGCACCTGTAATCCCAGCTACTCGGGAGGCTGAGGCAGGAGAATCGCTTGAACCTGGGAGGCAGAGGCTGCAGTGAGCCACGAGCGCACCACGGCACTCCAGCCTGGGGACAGAGTGAGACTCGGTCCCAAAAAATAAAATAGATACGGGGTTTCGCCATGTTGGCCAGGCTGGTCTTTAACTCTTGAGCTCAAGCAGCCCGCCCATCTTGGCCTCCCAAAGTGCTGGGGTTACAAGTGTGGCCACCACGCCCAGCCAACCCTATTTCCAAACCAGGCCACATCCTCAGGCCAGGGTGGACGTGAATTTGGCGGGGCACTATTTGACCCACACACCTGTACTGGTCCCCTTCTGCTGTCCCCTGGGGTCAAAACTGGCTCAGAGGGGTCCTGCTAGTCTGAGACCTGATGACCAGAGAGAGCCCCTTCTGTGGGGAGCAGGGGCTGGGGCAGGCGGGGCACACCGCTGAGGGCCCTAGGCTGATGGCTCTGCGTGGGAGCTCACGATTGCCCGTGGTCTGGGGTCTCAGCCCTCCTGGGCTCTTTTCCCTCCCTCCCTCCCTCCCTCATCCATCCTGGGTGAACTCCCGGGACCTTCCTGGGGCGTCGGACATGTCTCCTGGCACGGGAGAAAGGCAGAAGATGGGGAGACACTCGCGTGGGCCTGGGCACCCCCGGGCTGAGGAGGGTGTTTGGGGAGCCTCGGCCTAGGGCATGCGGCCTGCTCCCTGTGACTGGACTCTGGCTGACCCCTGCCCGCAGAGTCCGGACGTTCCCTCGGGACTCGCCGCTGGGCCGCGACACAGTGCGTGCGCTCATGTACTACGCCCTCAAGGTCTGGAGCGACATTGCACCCCTGAACTTCCATGAGGTGGCGGGCAGCGCCGCCGACATCCAGATCGACTTCTCCAAGGCCGACCACAATGACGGCTACCCCTTCGACGGCCCTGGCGGCACCGTGGCCCACGCCTTCTTCCCCAGCGACCACCATACGGCAGGGGACACCCACTTTGACGACGATGAAGCCTGGACGTTCCGCTCCTCGGGTGCGTCTGGGGCAGCCCCCGGGGTGGAGTCAGGGGCCCTGGCAACCCGTGATGCCCAGGAGCGACCGTGGCACCCCCGTGTCCAACCCCACAGGCCGACTTCGCAGTGTCTACGCTCGCCCGGCTGACCTCGCTAGGCGCTGGCCTGTTGGGCAGGGATGCCGCCGCGGAGCCGAGCCTGTCCTCACCACATCCTCAGCCCCCGAGGGAGGGCGCGGGAGGAGGCCTGTGAGGCCTCTGTGTCCATGGCTCAGAGTTGCTCCCGCTAAGTACCATTGTCTGCAGAAGTCACGGCTCTGCAGAGGCCGGACTGTGGCCTCGGGGGACCAGGCTGTCCTGGGAGCCAGGCCCATCCCATGGGGCCTGGGTGGGGTGCGTGTCAGTGCCCACAGCATCGGGTCTCAGGCTGTCTGTCTGACACCGGGCCCCATGTAACCCAGGCCCAGGCACATGGGTTATCTGTGTGGCCTTGTGCAGAATAGGCTGTCGGCCCCTCTGAGTGACACAAAGACGCCAAGCCTGAGAAACCCAGCAGGCATCACAGGGCAATCATGTTAATTCCAAGTAACCCTGCAGAATCCGTCTGGCATTGCAGACACCAAGGCATCCGCCATGGGCACCCCAGCCTGGGCCCACCCCACCCCATAGCACGGCAGAGGCCTGCTGGTCCCCACAGGGACAGTACCCCTCCTGACATGGAGTCTGGCATTCACGTGGTTCCCTGTGTCCCCAGATGCTCACGGGATGGACCTGTTTGCGGTGGCTGTCCACGAGTTTGGCCACGCCATTGGGTTGGGCCACGTGGCTGCCACACGCTCCATCATGCGGCCGTACTACCAGGGCCCGGTGGGTGACCCGCTGCACTACAGGCTCCCCTACGAGGACAGGGTGCGAGTCTGGCAGCTGTACGGTGAGTGTCTCCCTGAAACCAGCGGGGTCAGAAATGCCAGGCCCCCCCGAGCAGAGCCCTCCGGGAGGGTTTGTTCTCCCTGCTGTTCCCTCTGTATACGGTGCTGTGCCAGCTGGGACCCTCTGGCCTGTCCACAGAGCCCATCCCTGACGCCCCAGAGCCCCTGGGTTGGAATTCCACCTCTGTGCCCCAGACACTGACAGTCAGGACAGGCAGCGTGGATGGTGTCCCAGGCCTATGCAAATCACATTTTGGGTCTTAAATCATCTCATCTTTAGAAAACCTTAAGCAGTGAAAAAACAAATCTGATCTTTGTGGCCATGTAAGGTAGGGACTACGTCCCCCTTTTTGCAGATGAGAAAACGGAGGCACCCAGAGGTCCCTAGATTGGCCAGGAAACCCAAGAATAGCAGAGTCCGGCCCCAGGGACCCTTCTGCTGGGTTCACATCAGTAAGTGAGGCGGAGCCCATCCTGGAGCCGGTGCCCCAGGGAGACGGCACACGTGCATCAGAGGCCGACATGGTCACCTCACTTATACCCAGCCCCAGCTGCCCCCCACACCGCCCACCACACCCTGTAGGAGTGCTGCCCCACGGCCCAGACCCCTCCTGACCTCAGTGTCATCCTTCACACGCTCTGACGTCCATGCGTAGTGTCCACTGTAGAAAAATTCACATCCCATGCAGTTCACCGTTGTGGCCGGGCACGGTGCTCACGCCTGTAATCCCAGCACTTTGAGAGGCTGAGGCAGGCAGATCCTTTGAGGTCAGGAGTTCGAGACCAGCCTGGCCAATGTGGCGAAACCGCGTCTCTACTTAAAATACAAGAATTAGCCAGGTGTAGTGCACACGCCTGTAGTCCTAGCTACTCAGGAGGCTGAGGCAGGAGAATGGCTCGAACCCGGGAGGCGGAGGTTGCAGTGAGCCCAGATCACACCACTGTACTCCAGCCTGGGTGACAGAGCAACACTGTCTCAAAAAAAATAAAAAAGAAAGAAAGGAATTCACCATTTCAAGGTGTACATTCCATGCGTTTAAGACACTCATAGGTTGTGCAGATGCCATCTCTGTCTGCTTCTAGACAGGGGTTTCACCATATTGCTCAGGCTGGTCTCGAACTCTGAACCTCAGGTGATCCACCCGCCTCGGCCTCCCAAAGTGCTGGGATTACAGGCGTGAGCCACTGCACCCGGCTCTGGTTCTAGAACTTTCTAATCACCCACTACTACCAAAGGGGACCCGATACCCATCCCAGGCCCCACCCTGGCCCCTGGCAACCCCACTGTTGACCAACTGTGTCTCCCTAGATCGGCCTCTGATGCAGCCATGCAACCCTTTGTGTCTGCATTCTTTTTTTTTGAGACGGAGTCTTGCTCTGTTGCCCAGGCTAGAGTGCGTCTCAGCTCACTGCAACCTCTGCCTCCCGGGTTCACACAATTCTCCTGCCTCCGCCTCCCGAGTAGCTGGGACTACAGGCATGCACCACTACACCCACTAATTTTTTTTGTATTTTTAGTAAAGACAGGGTTTCACTGCATTGGCCAGACTGGTCTCAAACTCCTGACCCTGTGATCTGCCTGCCTTGGCCTCCCAAAGTGCTGGAATTACAGGCGTTAGCCACCATGCCCAGCCCTTTTATTTATTGATTGATTGATTTTAGATATGGGGTCTCACTATGTGGCGCTTGTCTCAAATTCCTGGGCTCAAGTGATTCTCCTGAATCAGGCTCCCGAGCACTTGGGACGACAGGTGTGCACTAGCACACTGCACGCCTGGCTGCATTTTAAAGTTCTTGTAGAAATGGAGTCTCACCATTCTGCCCAGTTGGCTCTCAAACTCCTAGGCTCAAGCAATCCTGCCCTGGCCTCGGAAAATGCTGGGATTACAGGCGTGAGCCCCATGCCCGGCCCATCTGCTTCCTCTGAGCATGGCGTGCTCCAGCTTCACCCCCTGGTGGCATGGATGCCACGTGGATTCCTTCTCATGGCTGAACAGTTTTGTCATCGTGCAGCCTACGGCAGGCACTGGGTTACCGCCCTGTCGGTTGTGGTGAACGGTGTTGTGAAGGCTGGGGTACCAGTTCCTGGGGGAATGCCTGTCTCCTGCTCTCTAGGGTGTACCCGGGGTGGGGTTGCAGCCTGTCTCCGGCTCTCTAGGGTATAGACTGGGGTGGAATTGCAGCCCGTCTCCTGCTCTCTAGGGTGTAGACTGGGGTGGAATTGCAGCCCGTCTCCTGCTCTCTAGGGTGTAGACTGGGGTGGAATTGCAGCCCGTCTCCTGCTCTCTAGGGTGTACCCGGGGTGGGGTTGCAGCCCGTCTCCGGCTCTCTAGGGTATAGACTGGGGTGGAATTGCAGCCCGTCTCCTGCTCTCTAGGGTGTACCCGGGGTGGGGTTGCAGCCCGTCTCCGGCTCTCTAGGGCGTAGACTGGGGTGGAATTGCAGCCCGTCTCCTGCTCTCCAGGGCGTAGACTGGGGTGGAATTGCAGCCCGTCTCCTGCTCTCTAGGGTGTAGACTGGGGTGGAATTGCAGCTCGTCTCCTGCTCTCTAGGGTGTAGACTGGGGTGGAATTGCAGCCCATCTCCTGCTCTCTGGGGTGTAGACTGGGGTGGAATTGCGGCCCGTCTCCTGCTCTCTAGGGTGTAGACTGGGGTGGAATTGCAGCCCGTCTCCTGCTCTCTAGGGTGTAGACTGGGGTGGAATTGCAGCCCGTCTCCTGCTCTCTAGGCTGTAGACTGGAGTGGAATTGCAGCCTGTCTCCTGCTCTCTAGGGTGTACCCAGGGTGGGGTTGCAGCCTGTCTCGGGCTCTCTGGGGTGTAGACTGGAGTGGAATTGCAGCCTGTCTCCTGCTCTCTGGGGTGTAGACTGGAGTGGAATTGCAGCCTGTCTCCTGCTCTCTAGGGTGTACCCGGGGTGGAATTGCAGCCCGTCTCCGGCTCTCTGGGGTGTACACTGGCGTGGAATTGCAGCCTGTCTCCTGCTCTCTGGGGTGTAGACTGGGGTGGAATTGCAGCCTGTCTCCTGCTCTCTGGGGTGTAGACTGGGGTAGAATTGCAGCCCGTCTCCTGCTCTCTAGGGTGTAGACTGGGGTGGAATTGCAGCCTGTCTCCTGCTCTCTGGGGTGTAGACTGGGGTGGAATTGCAGCCTGTCTCCTGCTCTCTGGGGTGTAGACTGGGGTGGAATTGCAGCCCGTCTCCGGCTCTCTGGGGTGTACACTGGCGTGGAATTGCAGCCTGTCTCCTGCTCTCTGGGGTGTAGACTGGGGTGGAATTGCAGCCTGTCTCCTGCTCTCTGGGGTGTAGACTGGGGTAGAATTGCAGCCCGTCTCCTGCTCTCTAGGGTGTAGACTGGGGTGGAATTGCAGCCTGTCTCCTGCTCTCTGGGGTGTAGACTGGGGTGGAATTGCAGCCTGTCTCCTGCTCTCTGGGGTGTAGACTGGGGTGGAATTGCAGCCTGTCTCCTGCTCTCTGGGGTGTAGACTGGGGTGGAATTGCAGCCCGTCTCCTGCTCTCTAGGGTGTAGACTGGGGTGGAATTGCAGCCTGTCTCCTGCTCTCTGGGGTGTAGACTGGAGTGGAATTGCAGCCTGTCTCCTGCTCTCTAGGGTGTACCCGGGGTGGGGTTGCAGCCTGTCTCGGGCTCTCTGGGGTGTAGACTGGGGTAGAATTGCAGCCGGTCTCCTGCTCTCTAGGGTGTAGACTGGGGTGGAATTAGAGCCTGTCTCCGGCTCTCTAGGGTGTAGACTGGGGTGGAATTAGAGCCTGTCTCCGGCTCTCTAGGATGTACACTGGGGTGGAATTGGGGGCCAGTGCTCACACACTGAGTACTTAACTCAGCGAGGGATCCGACTCCCACCTCGAAGTCAGCTCTGGGGCGGCAGTCTTGCCGGTTACAGCTGTGTCCCCAGAGTGCAAGTTGAGAGCCTGTCCTCTGAGTGGCCTCCGTTTCGTGCCTGGGATTCAGGGGGGCCACTGGGATGCGGGAGTAGGCATGTACCTGGGGTTTGAGGCCGTCCCTCTCCTTGTCTCCCACAGGTGTGAGGGAGTCTGTGTCTCCCACGGCGCAGACCGAGGAGCCTCCCCTGCTGCCGGAGCCCCCAGATGACCGGCCCAGCATCCCGTAAGCCCTGGGCCCACAGTCGCCACCCACGGTGGTCGGCCTGTCCGCGCCCCGTCCCAGCCAACATCTGCCCCAAACCGTGGCTCCGATCCCTGGGACGCCCGCAGCTGTGTGGCCGGTTGAGCTCAGGGACGTTTTGTCTTTTTTGAAACCCCTTCTAATACTGGCCTCCCCGGCCAGGGACCCCCCACAGGAATCACATCAAGCTCGGGTTCCTCTCTCCTCGTCCCTGTCAGCTGTTGCCACGTGGCAGGAAGCCCAGCCTGATGAGTGTTTCCTCAAGTTTCTGATTCCCAGCGTCAGGAAGTCAGGCCAGGCCTGCGAGTGTCCGGCTGTGCCCTGTGGCCGGGGCGTTCACTGTCTGGGCTCACGTCCGGTGCCAGGGTTGGGCCTAACTGGATGGCCATCGGCCACTCCACAAGGCATGACCCACACATGGCAGCTGAATTCTCAGGGAAGTTGTCCTGAGAGCTGGTACTGCCAGAGGCCAGTGGCAGCTGTGACCTTGTCACCCAGCCTCAGATGTCACGGGACCGTACGTGTAACTGTCGGTCAAGCTGTGAGGGAGCCGCTCTCCTTGTCATCTCTTGGTGGATGTGCGCCTTGCCCCTGATCTTTAGCCGTCACAGTGATGTCACTGTGAACACGCTTTCTGTAGGACAGAGTTCTGGGGATGGGCTCAGGGTCCTATGGCATGGAAGACGGAGTTCTGCGCTGGGCTCGGGGTCTCGTGGTGGGGGTGTTTGGCACCAGCTGGCCCCTGGTTACTACACCAGTCTCCACCCCGAGCCCTGCTTTCCCTCCAGCCCCCGGCACTGTGTTCTCAGAGTGTAGATCTTGCGCCGTGCCCCGCCGTGAAACAGTAGACAGGCACCCCTGTTTTAATTTGCCTGTCTCTTCAGGACGAGACCCCCAGGCAGGGATAGGGGCTCCCCCTAAGCATGCCTGTCCCATGCTGCTAAGGTTAGGGGCTCCCCTGAAGGATGCCCTGCCTCCGAGCCCACCGGCTTCTCTCCCCCCCCACACCACCCCGCAGGCCCAGGAAGGACGTGCCCCACAGGTGCAGCACGCACTTCGACGCGGTGGCCCAGATCCGGGGTGAAGCATTCTTCTTCAAAGGTACCCCAGGGTTCCCTGTGGCCGTGGGCAGAGGGTGTGGCCCATTCCGGCGCAGACCCCCTCTGCAGCCCAACCCTCCCCTCTGTCTTCTCTGTCCCCAGGCAAGTATTTCTGGCGGCTGACGCGGGACCGGCACCTGGTGTCCTTGCAGCCGGCACAGATACACCGTTTCTGGCGGGGCCTGCCGCTGCAGCTGGACAGCGTGGACGCCGTGTATGAGCGCACCAGCGACCACAAAATCGTCTTCTTCAAAGGTGGGCGGGCCTCCCCCTCGCGCTCCGGGCCTCCCGGGCCTCCACCGACCTCACTGAGGGGGTCCAGCCTGCATCCCGCTGTGTGGAAGCCCCACGTCTACCCAGAGGCTGGGCCAGCACCGAGCCTGTTTGCTTGTGCGCTCAGCAGATGCCTGTGTGCCCCGTCCTGCGGCAGCCGCTGCAGGCACCTGGAGGGCAAACGGGGGAAGCCCTACCCTCGCCCTCGCCCTCATCAGGCACACAGTCCTCCCCCAAGTCTGGAGGGCGTGATTTCTGGTGCCGTTCAGGGTGGTCAGAAAGGAAGGGCAATGGGAGTGGTCTCTTTGGGGGGATGCCGAGCAAGCGGAAACTAGGAACGGTGTTCAGGCCCGGGGAGCTGCCGCCCGAGGCAGGAGCAGTCCTGCTGAGCGCATCACAGACGGGCCTGTAGCAGAGCGCCCGGGCCTGGAGGAGGCTGGGGCAGGAGCGTCAGGGGCCGTGGCTGCTGCAGCCGGGCTCCTCTCCCCAGGGCGCCCCTGTGCCCACCTTTCCAGGAACGACCTCGTGGCGGTGCTGTGGGAAGCATTCCTCGTGCCTCCAAGGCTCCATGAAGGGCAGGAAAGGGAGACGGGAGCGGGGGCTGCAGGGCTGCAGGGGCAGCGGGACGGCAGGACAGAGGCCCCCACGCTGGGCTGAAACACGCCATTTCCCTCACAGCGTGGGCACGGTGGGCCCCCTCTGGAGCCCCTCCTAGGCCTCGCCCGCGTTTGGTGTCTCCCTCAGCCACGTCCCTGCTGCCACCGCCTCTGTCTTCACCGAGCCGTCACCTCCTCCAGCTTGATGTCGTCTCTTATAAGGAAGCCGGGCCTTGATTCAGGTCCCCTAATCCTCCCCACCCCTTTTTTTTTTTTTTTTGAGACAGTCTCACTCTGTCACCCAGGCTGGATTGCAGTGGCCTGATCTCGGCTCACTGGACCCTCCACCTCCTGGATTACAATCTCCTGCCTCAGCCTCCCGAGCAGCTGGGATTATAGGCACCTGTCACGGCTCCTGTCTAATTGTCGTATATTTAGTGGAGACAGGGTTTTGCCATGTTGGCCAGGCTGGTCTCGAACTCCTGACCTCAGGTAACCCACCCACCTTGGCCTCCCAAAGTGCTGGGATTACAGGCAAGAGCCACCGCGCCCAGCCTGCCTCATCCCATCTTAATTCATCTTAACTGACACATCTGCAAAGACCCTTTCTGAGTAAGGTCACGTCCTGAGATTCTGGGTGGACGTGAGTTGGGGGCATCGTTCAGTCCAGCGTGGCAGCCAGTCCCACAGGCACGGGCGGGTCCCTGTTTCCTCGAAGAGGTAAAGGGTGTTCTTCGTGTCCGCCAGGGAACTGCTTCCTGTCGCTCCATCGCCCACCCAGCCCTCGGCATTTGACTCAGTCACCACGGTCACTTGGGAGCCCTCAGGGGACTGCTCCCGAAGGTCTGATCCCTCCCGAAGGGACAGAGGCAGGAGGACCACCTAAGCCAGGAGGTGGAGGCTGCACTGAGCCATGATCATGCACTGCACTCCAGCCTGGGCGACAGAGCAAGACCTTGTCTCAAAAAAAAAAAAAAAAATCCCCAAAGACAGTACTTGCGCTAGAAAAGAAAAAAAGAGAATGACTTGTAAACCTTATGCCCCATTGCTCCTAGTCTCCCCCGTGCAACCTCACCAAAGGTCCCAGTGTGGCCCATAGTGCCTCCCAGAGCAGGGACCCAGCACACACAGTCGCCCCTTCAGCAGCCTCCCTGCCTTGCACTCGTTGGATGTGTTCAGGCCAATTCCCGAAGAGGGTCTGCCCGGCGTGTTCAGGCCGCTTCCCCCGGTGGGTCCGCCCGGCGTGTTCACGCCACTTCCCCCGGTGGGTCCGCCCGGCGTGTTCAGGCCGCTTCCCCCGGTGGGTCTGCCTGGTGTGTTCAGGCCGCTTCCCCCGGTGGGTCTGCCTGGTGTGTTCACGCCGCTTCCCCCGGTGGGTCCGCCCGGCGTGTTCAGGCCGCTTCCCCCGGTGGGTCTGCCTGGCATGTCCTCTGGATCAGGTTCTGGTTCTGCATATCCAGCAGGAATGTCACTGAGGGGCCGTGTTCTGAGTCTTGAGCCACCCTGTCTGGTGATGTTTGCTGTGGTCACCTGCATGAGGTGTGTCTGCAGGTTTCTCTACCATAAAGCCCCATTTCTGGATGTGAGGGGTCGGTCACTTGCCAGGAGAGACTTGAGAACATGTGGGTCTCTTGCCATCGCCCGTCCCGCCCCTGAGTCCCCTGCCCCCGCCTGGCTTCCTTACTAGTGCCCCGTCCTGGTTCCCAGGTGTCATTCATCCCCTCATCTCAATCCCTCCTTCCTTGCAGACATCACAGCCCTTTCCAGTCTCCAGCAAAGGACGTTTTTTGCTCATTTTATATTTTTTTATTTTATTTTACTTTACTTTTTTGAGACAAAGTCTCACTCTGTCACCCAGGCAGGAGCACGGTGGCCTGATCTTGGCTCACTGCAGCCTCGATCTCCCAGGTTCAAGCCCAGGTTCTCCTGCCTTAGGATCCTGAGCAGCTGAGACCACAGGCGCTCACCACCGTGCCTGGCTAATTTCTTTGTATTTTTGGTAGAGACAGGGTTTCACCATGTTATTCAGGCTGGTCTTGAACCCCTGACCTCAGGTGATCTACCCGTCTTGACCTCCCAAAGTGCTGGGATTACAGGTGTGAGCCAACACTCCCGGCCCTGGTTTTTTGATAATTTTAAATTGTGGCTTTGGTAAACGCATTTTAACCATTTGGTATGAGCCATGTTCACGTAGCTGCGCGGCTGTCACCAGTATCCACCTCCGGATTTCCATCTTCCCAACGGAGATGTTGCCCATGAAACACAGATGCCCCCACCCCGCCCCCCTGCAGCTCCTAGGTACCCGCTCCACTTGCTGTCCCCATTGCTCTGAATGCTCTACGGATCCCACGTCAGTGGGACAGACAGGCCCTGCCCTCTGTGCCTGGCTCGTGTCGCTCAGAGGAAGGGCCTCAGGGCTCACGCACACCGTGGCAGGTGGCAGGTATCCTTCCTGGCCAACTCCGAGCGACATTCCGTGGCACGGACGGACTCATTTCGTTCTCTGTCCACTCGGGTTTCTTCTCCTCTGGGCTCCTGTGAAGGACATGCTGCAAGCGTGAGTGTGCAAAGGTCTCTCCGAGGCCCTGCTTTGCGTTCTTTTGGATTTGTCCCCAGAAGGGGGAATGTGGGATCATGTGGTCATTCTATTTTTGATGTTTGGGGAGCCTACATTCTGTTTCCCACAATGGCTGCACAGTCTCACAACCCCCGGAAGGGCCCGGACCACACGGCCCCCACACTTGTGACTCTCCATGTTCTTGGAGGGGGAGGAGGAGGTGGCCCCTTGTCATTTCTCTGATGTTGGTCATCTTCAGGTGCTCATTGCCATCTGCATTGCTCAGGAGAAATGTGTATTCAAAGCACGTATCCAGCAAAGGAGCTTTAAATGTTTTGCTGCTGTGTGAACTCTTTCTTTTTTTTTTTTTTTTTTTTTTTTTAGTTTCGCTCTTGTCACCCAGACTGGAGTGCAATGGCACGATCTCGGCTCACCACAACCTCTGCCTCCTGGGTTCAAGCAATTCTGCCTCAGCCTCCCGAGTAGCTGGGACTACAGGTGCGTGCCACCATGCCCAGCTAATTTTTGTGTTTTTAGTAGAGACAGGGTTTCACCTTGAGCAGGATGGTCTCGATCTCTTGAAGTCGTGATCCACCCGCCTCGGCCTCCCAAAGTGCGGGGATTACAGGCGTGAACCACTGCGCCCGGCCTGTGCGAACTCTTTCAAAGGTGTTAAGAGTCTCACAGTTGCCAGGTATGGTGGCTCACGTCTGTAATGGCAGCACTTTGGGAGGCCAAGGCGGGCAGATCACCTGAGGTCAGAAGTTCAAGACCATCCTGGCCAATATGGTTAACCCCCGTCTCTACTGAAAATACAAAAATTAGCTGGGTGTGGTGGTGGGCACCTGTAGTCCCAGCTGCTTAGGAGGCAGAGGCAGGAGAATCGTGTGAACCCAGGAGGCAGAGGTTGCAGTGAGCCAAGATCACACCATTGCACTCCAGCCTGGGTTACAGAATTAGACTGTCAAGAGAAAGTCACACAGTTAGGCCTTGAGGGAGGCCCTTTCTCCTCTTTGCACCAAGATGTTCTAGTCCTTTGTGCAGAAAGAGTGGTTGGCCAGGTGTGGTGGCTCTCCCCTGTGATCCCAGCACTTGGGAGGCTGAGACGGGAGGATTGTTTGTTCGATCCCAGCCTGGGAAAAGGGCGTGGTTGCTCACGCCTGTAAATCGCAGCACTTGGGAGGCCGAGGCAGGATGATCTCCTGAGGTCAGGAGTTCTGCACCAGCTGCCAACATGAAGAAACCCCTTCTCTACTGAAAATACAAAAATTAGCCAGGCTTGGTGGCACACGCAGGTAACCCCAGGTACTCTGGAGGCTGAGGCATGAGGATCACTTGAACCCAAGGGTGGAGGTTGCAGTGAGCCAAGATCGCACCACTGCACTCCAGCCTGGTGACAGAGTGAGACCCTTCTCAAAAAAAAAATGGTAGAATGGCGTGTTGTGGGCTGCAGTGTAGCCTGAGTCGCGGGCTGCCGGCTGGATGGGACGGCCGGGGCCAGGCCTGGCAGGTGCTCACTCAGTATCCGCGTGGCCGCTGCGATGCAAGGGGACTGCATTGCGGCCACCGTCCCTGCAGGCCCAGGCAAGGGACCTGGGCAAGGGCGGCCGGCGCAGGGGAGAAGGAAAGGCTGGAGCCCCAGCCCACAGCTGTTTCTCTCGCCCCCAGGAGACAGGTACTGGCTGTTCAGGGACAATAACGTAGAGGAAGGATACCCGCGGCCGGTCTCCGACTTCAGCCTCCCGCCTGGCGGCATCGACGCCGCCTTCTCCTGGGCCTACAATGACAGGACTTATTTCTTTAAGGATCAGCTGTACTGGCGCTACGATGACCACACCAGGCGCATGGACCCCGGCTACCCCGCCCAGAGCCCCCTGTGGAGGGGCGTCCCCAGCACGCTGGACGACGCCATGCGCTGGTCTGACGGTGAGCACCGACCGCGGGCGGGGCGTGCAGACTCTGTTTCCCCACCGGGGATCACGACAGGGCCGCCGGGGGGTTCCTGCCAGGAGGCCGGCCCCGCTCGGTGTGGGCTCTGAGGGTCCCAGCCCCTCGCCGGAGCTGCAGACCTTGCAGGGGTCCCCGAGTCACTCCCCGAAGGCCCGGCCCCGGAGCTGGCTTGCTCGCCCTCGCCCCTGCTGCTCCCCAGCCTCGCCCCTGCCCCAGGGCCTTGGCGCTCGCCACGCTCTCCTCTGGGCACACTCTCCGGAGATGCCCACGCAGCCCGTCCCTCGCCGGCTCCGGCCCTGCCCGACGCCCTCCTGGGCGTCACCCGTGCTCCTTGACGTGTCCAAGTGTAGAAGAAATGTCCCCGCAGGGTCAGCTCCGGGGGCGGCTGCGACCTGTTGTTTTCAACGCTGTGTCACGTCACCTAGAACAGCCCTGCAGAGAGTGGCCCTCCGTAAATACCCAGGGAGGGAAAGGCTCAGCGTCTCCGGGTCCATCCCGGCCCCCGCAGGCTCCTCCCGAGCTTCCCAGGCCTGTGGCCGAGCCTGCAGCGCAGCTGAGCACACGCTGACCGTCTCAGATTCTGTCTGAGCACCCCCGCCGTCTAGCGCGACTCCCCCCAGTGTCTGGCCGACCCCCACTGCAGTCTAGCGCGAGCCCCGCCCCCGGCCGGCTGAGTCTACCGCGAGGCCCCGCCCCCCAGCCGGCTGAGTCTAGCGCCAGGCCCCGCCCCCAGTTCCTAGTCCCGCCCCCAGCCGGCTGAGTCTACCGCGAGGCCCCGCCCCCAGCTACGAGCCCCGCCCCCAGCCGGCTGAGTCTACCGCGAGTCCCCGCCCCCAGCCGGCTGAGTCTACCGCGAGGCCCCGCCCCCAGCGACGAGCCCCGCCCCCAGCCGGCTGAGTCTGGCGCGAGCCCTGCCCCGCCCTCCCTGAGCTCAGCCCTCCCTCTGCTTCTCAGGTGCCTCCTACTTCTTCCGGGGCCAGGAGTACTGGAAAGTGCTGGATGGCGAGCTGGAGGCGGCGCCCGGGTACCCGCAGTCCACGGCCCGGGACTGGCTGGTGTGTGGAGACTCGCAGGCCGACGGCTCTGAGGCCGCGGGCGTGGACGGGGCGGAGGGGGACCGCGCCCCTCCGGGACAGCACCACCAGAGCCGCTCGGAGGACGGCTACGAAGTCTGCTCGTGCACCTCCCGGGCCCCCTCCCTCCCCGGGGCCCTGGGCCCGCTGGCGCCCGCCGCCACGCTGATGCTGCTGCTGATGCTGCTGCCACTGCCACCAGGCGCCCTGCTGTGGACAGCGGCCCAGGCCCTGGCGCTGTGACATGTAGCCGGGCCTGTGAGGACACTCGGGGGGACAGCCTGGCCACAGAGGATGAGGACCACGCAGGAGTCCCTGGGGGAGGTGCCGGCGCGGGAGGACAGGCCACCCCAGCATGGATGGGACAGCAGAGGGCACTGTCCACCCGGACTGGGCAGACTCCGGTGGCTGGACTGAGCTGTCCACTAGTGAATGACTGCATGACTGATGGTGCCGGGTCAGGCCTCACTGCCGCCAGCCTCCCCCGGCCCTGGAGGGGGCATCCCTGGCTGGGGGGCCGCCTGTCTCCACGCCGGCGCTGCCAACCCCACCCACACTGCTGCCCGATGCTCCCACCGCCCACATGGCCTCCATCCCTAGGTCCCGAGTGGGCAACCCTCCCCACAGACAGCCCCCCCCGCGCGGTGCTGTGGCACGTCTCTCTTGTGACGAGTTCCAGACCAACATGACCTCTCCCAGCTTTGTAGCAGCTCGCCTGGGGGCTCCGGGGCCATGTGGGGGGTGCCCTCAGGCCTCAAGGAGCTTGGCCCTGACTAGAGGCCCATGTACCTGCACTTGGGGTGGGGCCTTCCCAGGAGGTCTGTGGTCTGTCGCCTGATTCAGCAGCCCTTCCCATCCCCTCTCACGGATGGGAGAGTTGAGGCCCAGCATGGGGTGAGCTGGCATGCTGCAAGCAGGGCTGGGCTGGGTCGGTCTCAGGAGGTGTGAATGCAGCGCATCGGGTAGGGTGGATTCCAGTGTGGGAGGTGCCCGAGGAGCCACTTGGGACACTGCCTGGCAGCACTAGCCTGTCGACCTGGGTGCATCCAAGAGGTGGGGCAAGAAGGGGCTTATTCCAGCTCTGGCCGCTGTGTCACTTGCTCCCTTTGCTCCCAGCCTCATGGTCTACCCACTCTGCCCCCACTTTCTCTGGCTGTTCAGAGGCTGCAGCCTATGCTGCTCTGCGGGGCCCAGTCCTCCCTCCTGCCACTGCAGGGTGCTCCAGTCTCTGTGGCGCAGACACCCCTCAGCCAGGCCACGGATTGAGGGCCTGAGCTCGGGCTCACCAGCATCCGCGCTGGTCTGGGGAGGGCCTGGGTGCCGCCTGAGTGAGGATGGCCACTGGATGGCGGGGGATTACTCCTACACAGCACAAAGTTCCCCCAGGCCCAGCATAGGGAGCGGCTGGGGCTGCTCAGGGTGCAAGGCCACAGCCCCCTTGGCCCATCCCAGGATGGCGCCCGTCCCAGGACAAGGCTGCCAGGGCTGGGCAGGCAGGCTCCAGGCCAGGCCTCATGGACCAGGCCGCATCCTCTGTCCTGTCTGTTTGTGGCCCGTTCTCTGGGTCAGGAAGAGTCCCTGCCTGTCAGACCAGTCCTGAGAAACGACGTTCCTCCCGTCTGATGGGGACACCAGCTCTGTCCTGCACTGACCCGTGTTTCCTCATCACACTTGTTGCCCAGCAGGCTGCGGGGAGAAGCCCGCCCCATGGGCCCCACATCGGAGTCATGCCCCAGAGCACAGCGGCTGTGGGTCTTGTCTGCGGGCCGGGCGCTGGCATTGGCGGGGCTGGCTGTGGGGCTGTGGCTTTAGAGCCCAAACACTTCCTGACAGCCTCCTCTGCCCGCCCTGTCTCCGGTGAAGAGGGGAACCATAGGCAGAGGGGGGCTGCTCTGAACTTGCCCCCCATGCTGCAGCCCACCTCCCTCTGGCGGCAGGGTGGCTGTGCTGGGTCCCTGGGGCAGGGCCTGGGAGCCCCACCTTTCCATACGCATGTGCACCTGGAGCTGCCCTGACCCGACATGCGAAGTCGGAAATGCTCCGAAACCCGAGATAGTGAGCACAGATGGGCTGCTCAAGTGCACACTTGGAATTTCACTTTTTTTTTTTTTTTTTTTTTTTGAGGGTCTCACTCTGTCACCCAGGCTGGAATGCAGTGGCGTGATCCCAGCTCACTGCAGCCTCCACCACCCAGGTTCAAGCGATTCTTCTGCCTCAGCCTCCCAAGTAACTGGGATTATGGGCACCCGCCACCATACCCGGCTAATTTTTTGTATCTTTAGTAGAGACAGGGTTTCACCATGTTGGCCAATTTTTTGTATTTTTAGTAGAGACAGGGTTTCACCATGTTGGCCAGGCTGGTCTCGAACTCCTGACCTCTGGTGATCCGTCTCAGCCTCCCAAAGTGCTGGGATCACAGGCATGAACCAACACACCTGGCCGAGAGGCAGTGCTTGAAAAAATAAAAGCAGAAGGAACGGCTCAACCTGTTTGCATAATGCAAATAGAGTATTCCAAACTCCAGAAACATCTGAGCTCCAAAACGCGTTCCTGGCCCTGCACCTCGGGTGAGAACCACGCAGGCCGTGTGGGAGGACCTCATGTTCACGAAGGCTGCACGCTCGGCATGAGAGTCCTCTGCATCCTTTGGGAGGCGCTGCCCGCCCTGGGGCTGCTTCTGTGTCTCCTTCACCTCAGGGGGTTCTCCCCAGGTCAGAGTTGGGAAAGAGGCAACCAGTGGATCTCAGCTCAGAGGATGCCCAGGGCATCCTTCTTCAGCCGACCCAGCCCCCGGGCCTTCCCCAACCCCCGTGACCTCCGCACATGTGAGGACTGCCGGCCGGTTTCCCTGTGGTCCATCCCCCAGCCGTCTGCCCACCCATTCCTCGTGAAGGGACCTTGGTTCTTCGGCAGGGATCTCAGAGGGCCCTGTTAGGCACTCATCCATCTTCGCGCGAGCCAGTCATCATCCAGACACCTGGAGACTTCACATAATGTTCCGGATTTTCAGTCACTTCATGTAACCCAGGCTGCGCTGGCCCAAATTGGAGAAGCTGTGTGTGCCCCCACGCCCAGGATGCGGGGCATCGCCAGGCTGCAACCATAGTCAAAAACCCTCAGACAGAGGTCAGAGGACCCGTACCACCCCAGTGAGGGGCAAGGACCTCTTCCCTCCACCCCAGGAGGTCAGCCTGGTGGCCCAGGGTCCCAGATAGCCACAAGGCCAGGCCAGGCACTGGCTGCTCTCGGTGTGACCCAGCCTTGTAACCAAACACACACAGCCCTGTGAGTATCATACAACACCTCTGCACGGGTGACCTCCGAGGCCAGGACACACCCACTCCAGCTCACATGTTACAGGGAGGGAAACTGAGGCATGGTGTCTTAGCTCAGCCTGCCATAACAGGCAGCCGTAGACCAGGCGGCTTCCAGAATAGGCGTTTGCTTTCTCCCCACTCTGCGGGCTGGGAGTGTGAGGTCAGAATGCTGGCAGGGTCAGGTTCTTAGGGGGCCGCTTCCTGGTTCAAAGCCAGAACCTTCTCACTGTGTCCTCACGAGCCCAAGAAAGTGCTGGTCCCTTCACCCTCTACCAGGGCACTGATCTCGTGGGGGCTCCACCCTGGCAACCTCATCTAACCCAAATCCCCTCCCAAAGGCCCTCGTAACATCATCACATCAGGGGGCACAGTTTCAGAATATGCCCTTGGTGGCCGGGCACGGTGGCTTGTGCCCGTAATCCCAGCACTTAAGGAATCCAAAGTGGGAGGATCGCCTGAGCTCAGCACACTGCAACCTCCACCTCCCGCTGCTGCAGCTAGGACTACAGGCATGGGCCACCACGCCCAGCTAGTTTTTGTATTTTTAGTAGAGATGGTTTTGCCGTGTTGGTCAGGCTGGTCTTGAACTCCTGGCCTCAGGTGGTCCTCCCGCCTTGGCCTCCCGAAGTGCTGGGATTACAGGCGTGAGCCACTGCGCTCGGCCTTCTGTCACTCTTTATTCACTCAGCAAACACCTGTTGAGCCACAGACACTGTTCCAGATGCGGGGGCCACAGCCGTGAACCAAACAGGCCAAACCCTTCATCTTGTGAAATTGTCCATAAATCTCCCTGTGTTCCGGTAGGGAAAAGGCAGCCAAGCAGATGGGGCTGCACCGTGAGAATCTGTGATCCCCGGCTGGGCTGTGCACTGAGTCACATGTCGGTAGGGAAAATGAGGCGGAGGGCGGTGTTCGTCAAGGAGGGAGCTGAAGGAGGCTGCGCACAGACCCTGCAGCCAGTGTTGCTGAGTGCTCTGGGGAGGTGCTGATTGCTGGGTGCTCTGGGGAGGTGCTGATTGCTGGGTGCTCTGGGGCAGCTGCTGGATGCTGTGAGGAGGTGCTGGGTGCTCTGGGGCAGTGGTGGGTGTTCTGGGGTGCTGCTGGGTGCTGTGAGGAGGTGCTGGGTGCTCTGGGGCAGTGGTGGGTGTTCTGGGTGCTGTGAGGAGGTGCTGGGTGCTCTGGGGAGGTTCTGGGTGCTTCAGGGACATGCTGGGTGCTCTGCAGCAGTGGTGCATGTGCTGGGTGCTATGAGGAGGTGCTGGGTCCTCTGGGGCAGTGGTGGGTGTTCTGGGGTGCTGCTGGGTGCTATGAGGAGGTGCTGGGTTCTCTGGGGAAGTGGGTGCTGTGAGGAGATGCTTGATGCTCTGGGAAATTGAGGGTGCTCTGGTGAGATTCTGGGTGCTTCAGGGACATGCTGGGTCCTCTGGGGCAGTGGTGGGTGTTCTGAGGTGCTGCTGGGTGCTGTGAGGAGGTGCTAGTTGCTCTGGGGAGGTTCTGGGTGCTTCAGAAACATGCTGGGTGCTCTGGGGAGTCTGAGGAGGCACTGGGGTGGTGGGGATTTCTGTGTTTACTGTGCAGGCTCAGGGAAGCCACAGGAGGGTTTCGGGTAGAGGGGGGCTGGTGAGACGGAGCTTTCCGCGGGTCCATCTGGCTGCTGCCCTGAGAAATGGGTGAACGGGGGGCCAGTGATGGTGCAGGGTTGGGATTTTCCAGGGAGAGACAGTGACTGAAACAAGGGATGTGAGGGAGCCACATCCTGGTTGTATTTGGAGATTTGTGAGGACTGTGGCAGAGCGCTGAGACCCCCCTGAGTATGGGGGAGCTGGGTTTGCAGTCTCTGCCTGAGGGAGCCACCACACCCGGCCAGTTTTTGTATTTTTAGTAGAGTCGGGGTTTCACCATGTTGGCCAGGCTGGTCTCAGACTCCTGACCTCAGGTGATCCACCAGCCTCGGCCCCCCAAAGTGCTGGGATTACAGGCACGAGCCATTGTGCCCGGCATATTCTTTAGTATTTAACAGAATGGGTGACAAGTCACACAATCAGTGATTCATGACTTCACACACAGGCAGCCCTCTGTTACCCACTGTGAACACAAACTCTTACAGCCTGTAGATGGCCAAAGAAACTCTCCAAGCCTGGGCCTGTGGGAAAAGACTTCAGCCACATCTTTTATTCTTTTCTCCTTTCTTTTTTTTTAACCTGTCATCATCTGTCAGCAAAAATCAACCACTTTTTTTTTTTTTTTTTTTTTTTTTTTTTGAGACGGAGTTTCGCTCTTGTTACCCAGGCTGGAGTGCAATGGCGCGATCTCGGCTCACCGCAACCTCCGCCTCCTGGGTTCAGGCAATTCTCCTGCCTCAGCCTCCCGAGTAGCTGGGATTACAGGC